CTCCAGGCCCAGTACGACATTGAGTTGCGGATCATCAAGTGGGTCCTGCATTACGTGGGTGCCCGGTGCGCGAAGGAGGTAAGGTCCGTGCGGACCCATGGGTCGGACGAGTAAGACTTTTGGAGGTTTGGGCCCCCAGGAGCACATCGAAAATCCTCCAGATTCTCCAAGCACCTCCCCTACACACACACGCACACACGCGCACACACACACGCGCGCACACGCACACGCACACGCACACGCACACACAACTCCCCCAGCCACCGCCACCTTCACCGTCCGAGCACCCACCCCCAGCCCACACCGCGCTACTTCATCGCACTCGCCTAAACACATACATACATACATACATACATACATACATACATACATACATACATACATACATACATACATACATGCATATATATACATACGTACATACATACATACATACATACATATCCGTCCATATGCACATGCACTCGCCGCCCGCAGGCCTATGTCCGTGCACGCTACCAGCCTCCTAGGGGGCCCCCCGGCGCCTCCGTTGCCGCTGCCGTCTCTTCCGCCCGCACCGCCTGGCTGAGCCACAGCACCGCCCTGGGCAAGCTGGACGCCGCTTCCTCCTCCTCCTCCTCGTCGGGCCTGATCAGCCCTCTGTCCGCCTTCATGGTGGCTGAGGCACGGAGCAGCTCGGAGGGCGCCACGAAGGAAACCCTGGAGCTAATGAAGAAGGCGGCGATGGTGAGGTGGGGGACGAGGTCGACTGGGGGGGGAAGGAGGAGGAAGATGAGATGGGAGGTAGGGGGAGAGAGCGAGAGAGAGGAACGTAGCGAGGGGGCCGGAAGAGTTATTTATTTCGGAATTGAGGAGGGGAGATTGTTAAGAGGGGTCCGCAAGAGGATAGAACGGGGTGCGGTCCCTGTGCGTCACCGACTCAATAGAACCCAAATCCGCTTCCATGGCATGGCATGTATGTATGTATGCCGTGTGAGCATATGCGCGTGTGTGTTGGCATGTGTATGAGGGTATAAGTCACGCTTTCACGTTGACCTCGGCAGTGCATGCATTGCCCCGTGCTTTTCACATGTTGGGCCCCCCTTTTTCGTTTCCCTCTCTTCTCTTCCCCCACTTCACGCGTTCGTGGTTCGTCCTTCCCCCCCGCTTCCTTCTTGCTCCTGCCCTCCATGCAGGCTGCCGAGCGGCGCGGTGACGACCTGATGGCCTGGCTCGCCCGGCTGAATGTGGCCCAGCTGCTCATACACGGGGGGCAGGGACGCACGTTTTTGGAGGAGGAGGTGCTCGCGGTGTGTGAGAGGACTGCGGTTTTAGGACCCATGGGGCCCTTCGGACTTCTTTTTCAGCACCCTCCGCTCTTCTCTCCCACCCTTCCACTCCTGTCCGGGGGTTGGGGTGATTATTTGCATTACAGGGAGGGGGAAGGGGGGAAGGGGATGATGCACCGAAATGAACATGGCATAAAAGATGGGGGGTCCAAATACGGCCGCAAAACGTCCACGGGCAACACGGCCCCGATGCGCTACAGTTGATGGACGGCTGGAAGGTTGGTCCCTGAAAAGTACACACACACACACACACACACACATACAGACGGACGGACGCATCTGTGCCCCAACAGGGCGCCGGAACCCAGGGCGCATGTCCCCGTTGTGTATCACTTGTTGTTGCGTACGTTTGCTGGTTGAAATCAGCTCATATACACACACATCCGCGCACACATCGCGCTCCATCCTCCGCCTAATACGTAGGAGATTGACGCGGCGGCGGCCCAGCGGGCTTCTGTCGAGGGCTGGGGCGGTACCGTACTGTTGGAGAGCCGCTGCCGTACACTCAAAGACGCGCTGGCAAAGGTGAGCGCTGTTTGCGTGCTTATGGGGGAGAGGGGTGTGAGGTCTTGTGGGAGCACGAAAGGGAAAAGGAGGTAAAGGGCAGCAAGCCCGGCGAGGAGGTGGAGAGTGCAGCGTTAAGATACAGATATAAACCCAGGCTTGCCTTCCCGCATCGCTACGGCTTTCTTTTCCTTTGTATTTGAATTATCATTTATGCTGTCGTTGTTACCGGACATCGCGTCTGGGCTTCTAGCGTTGTACTTGCATTGAGGTAATAAAGTTTTACAGGTATTTTATGGCTCGTTTTTCGCGCACCGGTGGCGTGTTTTGGACTTGTGTTGCTCGTTGATCGGCAGAGTCTCCAGGAGGCTCGCGAGCTGCGGCAGAAGCAGTTGGCAGAGGCTGGGTCCGGTTCTGAAGGAGAGGCGGATTCGGGCCGGCTGCCGAGCATAATTATTCGCGACCAGGTTGGGACGCTGACGCCTGTGGCGTTGCCGCACCGGGAGTGCGCAGGCTGCAAGCGTTTGTTCGACAAGGTGAGTGAGGTCGCCGAGAGAAGCGCGCGTTGGGAAGATATGGCAGCAGCGTTGGACTAATTCGGATTTGCGGGAAGCGGAGGAGTTCCGAAAGTCGAAGGTATTTAGCGAGACAAGGTTAACGTAGGCAAAATGCAGGCTGGATGATAGCCTCATGCTTTCGCGGTATAGAACAGACGTTATGTTTGCATAATGTGTTTTTGTGTTTGTTACACTTTACAATGTACAATATATAAAATATATAAGGAAAACAGAACAAAAAAGAACAGGGCCTAGTTGTGTCCTGCGAAAATTGCAATTTAAATTCCAAAAAGTGCGCCCGGTGAGATTTGAACTCACGCAGCTTTCGCTATGGGAAAGCTCATTCTCTAGCTTGAGACCCACCCGTTAGACCACTCCGGCACAGGCGCCCGGGAAACCCGGAAGCTGAGAGATAATTTAATGAAAATTGTTGCGCATATATTGTAGCAACGTTGTGTCACACTCACAACTGCCGTCTCGGTAGTTGCAAACGCTTTAGTTTTCCCTCGACCCCGTTTCTGTAAATTTCTGTAAAACGCGTTCCTAGCTCTCCCGGCGGATGATGGCGTGTCGGGTTCCCCCGGCTTTTCTCCATCCATATCGACATGTCGCCCTCCTCTCCCCATTTGCTTTCCTGTCACCTTGCCTACTTGAGCCCCGCCCGTTCGCCAAGACCGCTATGCCGCACCCCCTGACTCTGCTCTCCCCCTCCCTCTCTCCCCTCCTTTCCCGTGCTCAACACGTCCTGCCCCAAGGCGTTAATGTGTGGCAAGTGCAAGCAGGCCTGGTATTGCGGTCGTGAATGTCAGGTGGCGCACTGGCGTGCCGGCCACAAGAATGAATGCGCGGCTCTTGCAAACGCGGCTGCAGTCGCGGCGGCAGGGAGGACTACTAAAGGCGGCGATGGTGACGACGGCACAGCGTGACGTGACAAAAGCAGGGGCACAGCCAATAATTTGCGACTGCTGTGGCGGCGGCCGCAGCAGCTGCTTGCTCCGCCGTGTTTTGCCAAAGCACCGCCACTACACGCAAAGTCTCATCGTTAGAGGAGCGCTGCCATGGCCTGTATGTAGTTCCTGTGTGTGAGGACATGAATCTTAAGTAACAATAAAACGGATAGGCCTGTACATGTATCTGCCAGTCTGTACTAGGGCTCGATGCCTAATTTCAAGTCTTAGTTTTCTTCGGAGTCTGTTTCCAATCGCAAGGTATACGACATGGATCTCGTACTTTAGCAAGATGGTTTGCCGCTCCAGGTGGTGAAGGTGTAACCCGGTCCTGCCGCACATGGTTGGTTAGTTCACTGGATGGATGGATGGATGGATGGATGCTATGATGGCTGGGAGGCACACATGGGAGGAGTTGCGGGCAGAGGGATGCGATGCCATGATTGGTCGGTCGGTCCGTCCGGTGGGTACCTCTTCCAAAACCCAAAACATCAACGCAAAGCGCAACACGGAGGTCAACAGAGAGGATGAAGCGGACCGACATACATACATACATAGATACATACCTGTTAAATTTTGTGGTGGAAAAAAACGCGGAACACACCAAACGGATCTTACATCATGTGCTCTGTACGTCAACCTCCATGCACCTCTACAACCCCGGACGGTTGGTTATCTTCTCACCGTGCGTGCATGCGTCTTCAAGCAAGTGCACATGCACAAAAAGCAGCCCTTCGAACAACTCAACAAATACACAATCGAACCTCGAAGCTCAACGGTGGTGGACCCGACCGATCACCGAATATCACAGGCCGTACCTATTCCGTACGCTCAGCGTGCCATGTATTCATTACTTACGGCATGCACCACTATCCGCAACGTTAATATGCATATCGCCATATAATCCATGACCACGTGCCTGATGATGAGTCTGTATTTACTCTTTGCTGCTGTTTGCTTTAAGCTCTTCCTCCAGCTAATCGGGTGACCTGGCAAAGAAATACACACACAGGCATGATCACCGGATGCATTAACTTCTGTCCACGACGCGTGCCGTGGTCCTGGCGGGCCTATTTACTTGTAACCGCCAACGGAAAACAACAACGACAACAACAACAACACAGAAGACTTTGTTAGCTCAGCCGCCCGACCCCGTCCCCAGCGGGATAGCTGTCCATGCCTCTCCAGGGTTCACGATGCGGCCACATTGCGCTGCCGGTGGACGGTCAAATCCACTGTAACACCCTCCATTTTCAATCTAACCGCCAGCCCGGCCATAAAGCAGGCTCTTCTACACCAACACGAAAAAAACATCTATATCGCCGATAAGCTCCGTAATGGTTCAGAGCTGCTTATCACGACCTGAGAAACAAATAGAAACGGAAATCCGTCTCACCGCACACATCGCCAAAACATGAACACCCTCCGAGTTACACTCTGGTAGGTCCCCGGCTATCCGACACGTCCCGTACGATATGTCCCGCTTGTTCTCCCGGGAATGCGTCTTTCTCTCTCCTCTCTCCTGGTAAGCCTGCCTGCCTGCCTGTCTGTCTGTCTGTTTGTCTGTCTGTCTGCAGCGGCGGTCTCTTCATTTGACCGATTTCAATGGTTCAATAATGCACAACAAAGCACAGGCATGGGATCGTGCAGTGCGCAGCAGCTCACCACCGGCCTATCCGTAATGGTAATCCACATGGAGGGGAACCTTAATCTGTCGGCCACTGCGGGTCACAACAAGGCTGCTGCTGCTGCCGGAATTCGCCTGCGGTGCCGCCGGTGCAGGCGCCGCGACGGCGGCGGCGGAGGCGGCAGCAGCGTGGGCGGTGGGGCCGGAGGCGCCGGTGACAGCGGCGGCGGCCTCAACAGCGTTCAGGCGCATACCTGACTCCTCCCTGGGTGTGAGGTCGCGTACGTCGCAAAGCTGCGGATATAGCGCGAGTAGGGGGCAACATGATCGGGTGTTGGTGAGGACGAGGTTAGAGGGGCCGGAATGCAGGTCTGACCCGTCTTTTAGATGGTGCTATACACGGATCATAGCTCTCGACGCGAGGGGGGAAGGCGCGCGCGGTTTGTTGTGAAGGTTTGCAAGGGATGGGGGCATCACGCGGCGTGCTTGGCATCTGAGGGCATCACTGCAAAATGCACTCGCGGCCGTTCTGAACACACTCTTCTTTTCAGCGAAATGGAGAAGCATATATATTAACGTTTTGACTTCAAATTGTACTGATGCATGGACGCACGGATGTATGGATGTACGGATGTACGGATGCACAATACACCAGGTCAGCGGCTGAAAGACACACGAGCTGAAGGATAACATGCGAACAGCAGTGGGGGAAGTTCACTCGTACATTGTACGAACACCAAACTTTGGAAAAAAATGAAGATTATTGGTCGCCTTGTCTTTCGCAATGTGGCCTCCTGACTCACCGATGAATTGCCGCGCGGGGCTGCCTCCAGCGAACGCATCGTGGGGCACCATGGGCTTACTGTCTGCGTGGCTGCGGCACCCGTAATGTGGGCACAGACAGGTGCCGTTGGGCCGTGGTTGACGCCGCCGCCGCCGCCATTACTTCCCCCCCCGCCGCCACTCCCGTCACTGTCGGCGGCGCCGGTAGCATTGCGCCGACGCCGTTTCGCGTCTCCTCCCCCGTCATCGGCGGCAACGGCCCAATGCCCTGCCGATGTGCCTGCCTGGGGCTCCCTCGGCGAGAGCCCGAAGCCGTCAGCGGCAAAATAAGCAAGCAAGTGCTGATGCTGATGCTGCCTGTGCTGGGAAGGAACTGGCACCGATGTCATTGGGAACCTGAGCTCTGGCTCTAGTGACGGCAGCCGTGGTGGCGCCGGCCGCAGTGGTGGCAGCAGCAGTCGCGGTGGCGGCGGCGGCGGCTGCTGCGGTTGTGGCGGCAGTGGCCGCGGTTGTGGCGGCGGCGGCTGCGGTAGTGGCGGCAGCGGCCGCGGTTGTGGCGGCGTCGTCTGTGGTAATGGCGGCAGCGGTCGCGGTGGCGGCGGCAGCCGCCGCGGTTGTGGCGGCAGCGGCCGCGGTGGCGGCGGCGGCAGCCGCGACGGTGGCGGCAGCGGCCGCGGTTGTGGCGGCGGCGGCCGCAGTTGTGGTGGCAGCGGCCGCGGCGGTGGCGGCAGCGGCCGCGGTTGTGGCGGCAGCGGCCGCGGTTGTGGCGGCAGCGGCCGCGGTTGTGGCGGCAGCGTCCGCGGTTGTGGCGGCGGCGGCCGCGGTTGTGGCGGCAGCGGCCGCGGTTGTGGAGGCAGCGGCCGCGGTTGTGGCGGCAGCGGCCGCGGTTGTGGCGGCAGCGGCCGCGGTTGTGGCGGCAGCGGCAGCACTGGCGGCAGGGGCTGCGGTGGTGGCGGCAGCGGCCTCAGCGGTCGCGGCAGCGGCAGTAGCGGCCGCGGTGGCGGACGCGGCAACGAGAGGTCCAGCTCTTGTTGTTGTCGCTTCCTGCCTCGCGCGCCAAGCGACATCTCCACCAATGCGCAGGCCGCCATATGCGTCTCAACGTCCTGCTCATCCTCGACTTGCTGGTCGTAGGGCGGCGGGGAAGCGCGGTAGTCGTAGGCGTCTACCGGTGGGCCAGGCGGCGCCCACATGAGAGGGTTCATTTCTGCGAAGCTCGTTCCGACCCCCTCGGACAGCGGCTCCCAGGGCCACAGCAGATCTGGAAGGGGAGGGACGGATTTGCGTGTTCTCATCCATCCATCCACTCATCCACCCATGCATGTGTGAATCCATTCATCCGCTCATCCAACCACTCATCCACCCATCCGTTCATACGCCCCCCCGGCTTTTACGGACACACCCGCACTTGTGTGCGGAACTTGTGTGTGTGTGTGTGTGTGTGTGTGTGTTACATGGTTGGGGGGTGCGTGACCCCATACCTGTAAAACTACCCATACGAGCCGAAGGCCCAAGGGCAATACTACAACGCCTAAAAGCCACGGAGAAAAGGAAAAAAAACACCGCACATCAGCCCAGACTAGCGTCCAAAGGGGGTAATTGAGTTTCGGTGAGCCCACATACGTTCCAACATCCTCGCCAGGCGTGCGGGTTCCCATTGCATGGCCTCCAACATACTCTGTTGATGATCGAATCCCTCTTCAGCACGAATATCATTATAGGCTGGGCGGAACTTGTAACTTGTAACTTTCTGGGGTCGTCCCGGGCTCTCAAGAGGTGAGGTGGGGCACGTGCACGGAACCCTGTTGCGACTTCAGGAGCTTTGATAACACGGTAAGATCATGATATAGCCGAATGGCCCAAGAAATTCACCAGTTTACTACATTTGATGACCTCCTACCGGCTAAGGTGCCGTCGTAGTTATGCGGCTGGTCATTGTTGATGAAGCTTTCCGTTGTTGGTAAACCTTGCCAGCCAGGTGCCATGTGGGGATACGCCATGGAACCCATTTCCTCCCGCGCAAAAGACGGTGTCACAAAGCTTTCCCGGTGCTGCATCGTAGTACACGAGGGCCTGGGTATTGGGGGGAAGGTGACGTGAAGCGAGGGGTTGGAAAGGGCCCCGTCGGGATGCTTCTATCCTTGGAACGAAGAACAAGCAGACCTGGCTAGCCCCCACCCTCGCCTAGCGGTGAGAACCAGATGTGGGCTAGAAGACAGGATCTCCGCCTTGGACTTTTGCAGTTCGTATGGCGTAGTACAGTGTGGTAGTGGTCGACGGTGCTGTATCGCGATAACTCGTAGAAATGAAAATGACAATGTGTTCAAGTGGCCCAGAAGCCTCCCACTCTGTAACAATTCAATATAGATGTGGGCTGGGAGATGGGCTGGGCATCAAGAGAAACGCAGACTAGCAGAAGACAACTGGTTACCAGCAATCCGCCAAACATCACGCCGATCTGGCGACCCACCTCGCCGATGGACGCATAGGCAAACTGACGACTCGCATTGATCGATCCATCGACGCAGGCAAGCATGCATATAAGAGATGCGCAAGTAAGAAGATCGGGAGAAGTGCTTCGTTATTACACTCGCTAGACCGCAATAGCGCGCTTCCCTAACAGAATTTAAACCGACAAGAATTAAAAGCTTACCGCAACGAGTGGATGTAAGTCTTGAAGCGGCCTTGACGTCTTGTTCGAGAGTGAAGAAGCACAAGCCAAGGCCGTGCGCCCGGATCGCTGGGCGGATGTAATTGAAATTAATTATAACCTCTCAATCTAACAAATAATGAAAGAAGGAAGCGTTTGTAAGTTATATTAGGGCCTCTGGAAGGAGATCTACTAGCGTTCTATAGCGTAATCCGGACACAGCTATATCGGCGCTGCAAAGCATTTGAAAGTTATAGAGAGCTATGAATAGATGTGCATTTAGGACCTGTTTGAACCGGAAAAGGAGCAAAATGGAGGCTTGGCAACGGCGCTGGGCACCACCCACAGAATGCTCACGCCAAGATGATTCAGTCCTTTAGACGCTAAATCAGCATCTAAACCTTAAGAATAAACTTACCTTGCCTTTTTTGGGTGCGCTGGCGCGCCGGTTGACGTTATGCGGCTCGGCAGGGATTCGCGGCCAATTTCTGCGCTGTCCTGCGCTGCGCTGTAAAAACTCTACCTGCAGCACTACTATGCAACCGAGCTACACAAACTGTTTCTGTGCAGAAAAGGGATCTTGGTCCTAGGTAAAATGCCAAATGGCAGCCGTACATGTCATCTCACGACACGACAACAATAATCATCTGGACAATAGGACAGTGGTTCGGCACATGCACATGGCAGGGTTTCCAGCAGGTTTCCTATTAACCGGAGCAACAAGACACTTTTTTTGCCAGGGTCACTGACAATTTCATGCGGAATCTGCTTCATGGCGACGTAACCGCTGCGGCTATGCGGGGCAAATCATTGCCACTCGCTAGTCGACTGCTGACAGCGGTGGGTCTTCGTAATGCTTGGGGTTGGCCTGTAACGCATCGCTTTATCCGAGAGGAAAGTTTGCAGGAACAGCTTGTGTAACGAAATTTATCTTTGCCGTTGCATTCGGTTCGTCTTAGCTTCAGGCGCGGCGCTCACTGTGCCCAATATATTCAAGGCACGATTGCTGCGGAGGAAAGCCAGCTAGGCGGGGTTCCTTTCCCATTCTCCCATACACTTGCTTTTGACCTGCTTCCGTGCAGTTACCCCAGCCAGAGCCAGATTTCTACCAAGAATGAATCATAACGCGAACCAGGAATGATATGTAAGGCTTTTGAGACGCTATACCGCTAGAGGGCTGGCTCCTGTCCGGTCGGCTCATCCATGGAAAGGCCGAAACGGTCCTGAAATCCAACAATTTACCACGCAAAATTGGATGGAAGTTTCTAATTTGACTTTAATTATGTATGTTTTCAACTAATACGCTTGCAAAGTTCTCTTGAGAAGTTTTGTGCCCTTTCGGACGCCCCGGCACAGAAAATACTTTTGTAGAACAGTAAAGCGAGCATCTAAATGCAATTATATTTAGGTAGCTATTATAATACCGAATACAAGCTAGCTTTCAGCTCTTTAGCCAGCGGACTTCGCCCTTTGGACTTCCCTATTTGCGCAAAGCGGAAAGGCGTGCGCTAGGACGTGATACAGGGTATAAATGTGTGCCCTATAATGAATATGTTGTTTGCAAGCCTTCAACCTGAGCTGGGTATCGGTTGGAAAGTTTTTCCCTTAATTGGGACCTGTTGGGAACCCCAGCTTCTTGTGCTTGATGCCACTGTGATGTGCAGTGAACCACCTTGAGATAATACGTTCTCGGAATTGCTTTGCTTGAGCTCAATCGTTCAAAGACCGACTACCCGGCTGGTGCAAGTCACTTGCCTCCGAGACGTGCGAGGCGCGTAGTGGAATCCCAAGCGCAAAGCTTGCCGATATATTACGCTCAGTCTCTTTCCATTCATAATGTATAGATGCAGTAATCCAATTTTGGAATGTACTATGAGCCGTGATACGGGGGGCCCAAGAAGGGCTTCGGAGCCAACTGCATCAACACTGCGGGGCCCGGCGATCCATTTCAAATAGCCACAGCAACTCATCGTTGGAAAAATATTGTGAATCGCGCACACGCTGCCGCCACCTCAGCCACTTGCGGTGCGACCCTGTTCCCGAGGCAAGCCCAGGAACCAAGTCGCTGGACACCGGCAACCAAGGCACGGTAAGCAGTCTAATTCTTGAAAAGTATACAAAGCGCTTTAGCGCTTGGGCAGCTTTCGGCGGTACGCGAAGTCAACAGTGGACTCACCGAGACTCACGCACGCACGCACTCTGGCCGCCCCAACTACCGTGCGCCTATCTATGTATGCAGGCAGCGGCAAATGCATGTAGCTTCATGCCTAATACATATTACGAATCCGGTGTTGGGCGGATCGGTGACGAGATACGAATCTAGTTTGCCGGGTATTCGTGTTCTTGCGTGTTAAGAGCGGCCTTGCTCCTTATTTTTCATCGATCCCGTTGATTCATACTAACATGGTATCGCTGTTGTTAATGGCGAAATCTTTTGCGCACACGCCCGATTATATCGCTTGATCTCCCTTCTTGGCGCACTGTTCCTGCTTCTGTTTGTCCCGGCCACAGTTGGCAGTAACAGGCGGTGGGGTCAGCCCTAGTAGTTTTACTTTGAAATTGGCGATGGCGGACAACGAGCGCCCCGGCAACGAGCCCACCGTGAGCGCCTGGCAGCGCTGGGTCTGCCTGCCCTTCGGTGTGTTCAACGGTCCGGCCATCTTCTCCGGCCAAGCCGCTGGGGTGGCGCCCCGCGGCGCCAGCACCTCCCCGCATCCGGAGCGCAACGGCCATGAGAGCGCCGAGCAGCCCAAGGCGGCCAGCTGCGGAAATGACGACTACGTGATCGTGGGGCCGCTGCCCGCTGCTGCCGACACTGTTGAAGGGGAGGGCGCCGCCGGGGCCTCCGATGACGGGCGGGCCCCTGCTGGCCAGGTGGTTGCCCACGCAGCGGATATTTCGCCACCCGGCAACCCGTCAGAGGAAAGCGGCCCAGCGCCCTCGGCGGGCAACACCCCCACCGATCAAGTTAATGATGCTGTGCAGGCTGTGCAGGCTGAGCAGGCTGAGCAGGCTGTGCAGGCTGAAGCGCCCAGTGTGTGAAGCTAATTTAGTGCGGGAAAGCCTGCTGGTTGGTGTCTTAGGGTTCTTTGGCATACTGCGGCAGACTCAGGTTGACAGGGCTGATGGAGCGGACGAAGCGTGGAAGATTCGGTCGGCGGGGCCCGGGTGGGGACATGCTGCTGCTGGGCTGCAATTATTCGCATGAGGAACCGGCAGCGGTGCGATTCGAACCGACACCTGGGGACCTGTGGTGGCGTTGATGAAGGTGATGTTGGTGGTGGCTCACCCCGCTGGTGGTGGTGGTGGTGGTGGTGGTGGTGGTGGTGGTGGTGGTGGTGGTGGTGGTGGTGGTGGTGGTGGTGGTGGTGGTGGTGGTGGTGGTGGTGGTGGTGGTGGTGGTGGTGGTGGTGGTGGTGGTGGTGGTGGTGGTGGTGGTGGTGAGCCAGGGGAGCTCCATGCAGTGGAAATATCGCGAGGCGTGCGGCAGCTGGTGTATGTGTATTTGGACGGGAGGCCCTTCACTTTGCACTGCGCTGCTACAAACAGCCCAGAGTGGAGTTCGTGGAATGCTGCTCGGGGGGTTTGAGGCGGGCAGTCGGGGGGGCCGAAGTGTGTGTAGGTATGTGTGCGTGTATGTGTGTGTGTGTGTGTGTGTGCGAGTGCGAGTGGGAGTTGAAATTACCCTGGCTTTCTATTGCCGGGGGACGCTACCCGGCCCCATGGGTGAGACCTCCCACACACTCTGACGTTTTGGAGGTGCGTTCCATCGATCCGTGTGTATGTATGTGTGTTGAGTCGCTGGGTGGCAGACATTGGAACTGCTTTGCAGGGTACGTCCGTGGCAAGTACAGGTCCAACTTTCGCAATGCGTGGATTACTAGTGCTGTTTCACAATATCTTGATTCGTGATATCATTTTCGAGTGTCATCCCAGATCAGGGTCAGATTGTCGGTCACACAGCGCTCTTTGCCACAGCGGGACACGGAGCTGTACCCGGCGCAACAGATCTACAAGCGAGCTGATGGTGTTGAAGCTGCTGCTACTGCTACTGCCCACTACTACCGGTAATGCCTGGTGCTTGGTGCGGCAGTTCATGGACGAGTTGCTAGAGGAGGGTGTGAGACAGGACGATGTACGGCACACTTGTACGGCAGGTGTATCCCTCCTAAGGCAGATGCTTCTTTCGCTTGCGTATTTCTGCAATCCCGTCATCACGCACAATAGGGAGGTGCTTTATTAATAGGGAAAACTCGTCGTAGTCGTCGTAGTCGTCGTCGCAGTAGTAGTACGAGTAAAGTAGTAGTAGTAGTAATAGTAGAAGTCGCCATCGTTGTCGTCGTCATCTCCGTAGGACGATCTTGGTCATTCAGCAAAGGTCAAAAGTTATGTGGATTGACATTTACGTTCTCGCCTCTTGCGGCATCAGTCCTTGCTGGGGTATGCGATGGAGCTCCCAAGCTGAAGTATGGACCGGACAGATGGATGGTCACGGGGGTCGCCCCGTATGCATGTCCGTAGCTGCACCGGGAAGTAATAATCAAAGGTGCCGCCGGTGGGCCGTCGCTTCAAAGAGCTGTATGTTCCCCTGTCTGTATTATAGGCCCTGAGAACAACCGTGCAATTCGAGGGGCACGAAGCGGAGAACAACTAGGGGTGCGTGTGTGCTATTATTTTGTTGCGCAATTGTGGTGATAATGTAAATATAAAACCGAATTCCTTACATGCGGATTGCTATCGCGGTTCAGATCATAAAAACACTGCTATCGAAAAGAACTCGCCCGACAGACAGACAGACAGACAGACAGACAGACAAACAGAGTGCGTCCAACCACTCCATCCTATCGATTGTGGGGGAGTTGGTAGGAGTCCGCAGGTGGCTGCAGTGAGGGTGCGGATGAGGGGGAGGTTGCTGCCCAGGAGGGCCGTACTTCTAGGTTCGTGCATGCGGCAGGGCTGAGTTCTCTCGAGGTACGAGGTCGGGGTCCTTGTACTGCGGGACGTGGTGAGTACGGAAGGGCCTTGACAGCCAGCCGTCTTGGTAGAGCGGTAAAAGGGGGGGCCCGAGCTGGCTACCCTTCCCCCCATCGGCGGGTTTTTCCAGAGGCCTGGTCGCCGGGTGTCGTGGCAGGCTCTTCCCGTTCGCGCACTTTTTGAGTTGATCCCAGTGTAATGTAGGGGCGGCATGGACACATGCGGTGATACCCCCCCAGCGGTTGATACCTCCCCTGGACCTCACTAGCCCAGGGAGGAAAAGCCGGGTTGAGAAGAGGTCCCGGGAGGCTGTTCGGCGTCTTGTGGTGTGAGTTTGTTGCTGATGAACTAGGTGAATCAGATAATGACGATATGTACAAGCAAGCACTCTTTGCGCTCTTTCTGTTTGAAGCTTTTTGGAGCTTGGTGACTTCCCAAGCTGGGATGACTCGTCGGGCTCCCGGTCGCCCTGGTCCTGAACGCATGCTCCTTGAGCTTTTCCTGGCCTTTCCCCGGGTGCGACTTCGATGATGTTAGGTGACCAGCGGACCTAGAGCCCGTTAAGCTGTAGCGCTACCCCCCAGTGGCAAACGCTGCTTGGTGCCGGCCGTCGTACCTCGTACGCGGTCTGACCCGGGGCCTGAATGCATGACACTAACCAGCCGTGTGCGTCTGGCCCCCCCCACTGTGCGTGTTTCGGCCCTGGGCCCCCGGCTTTTAAGCCCACAGTGTAATCAACATACATACATACATACATGCCCTAGCTGAGACTTGCGGGCTCGCTCTAGCGGGACCTGAGAGCCCTTCGTGGTGTCTTCACTGCAGCGCCATCCCCGGATGGAGTGGCTGCGGAGTGGCTGCGTAGAGTGTTGGCAGTCTGAGTCGGGGTCGGGAGCACACAAGACTAACCGACTTGTGCTGTGTGCTCCCGACCCTTGCGCTGTGTTTCGGCTTCGGCCCCCGGCTCTCGCGGCCCACAGTGTAATCTAAGTCATACATACATACATACATACATACATACATACATACATACATACATACATACATGCGAGCTCTCTGAGATGCTCGGTTCGTTCGGTCGGCAGGAAGAGCCCCCCAGTTGCGACTTCGTTTATGTTAGGAGACCAACGGGCATAGATCCCGTCTAGTTGGAGCGCCAAACAAGCGCTGTTGCGTGCCGGCCGTCGTTTCCCGTGCGGCCTGACCCGGGGGCGGAGTGCATGAGACTAACCAGCCGTATGCACCCGCCCCCCGCGCTGTGCTTCGGCCCTGGGCCCCCGGCTTTTCAGCCCACAGTGTAATCAACGTCATAC